CCCCCCCCCCCCCCCCCCCCTCTAAAAATCCATGTTGCCCTCACCCCCGCATTTCTCTTTACTTGGACTTCTCCAGTGCTCCTTCTCTTTTTTCTCTCCTACCTTTCCTGTTCACCTCCTTTTCTTTCTTCTCCTGAGCATCCTACTTCATGCTCTTTTGTCTCACTCTCTCACTCCTTCCCTCTTTTCATTTTTCTTCATACGATCAGCTTCTTACTCCTTTTCCTTCTCGCCTTGCCCCACCCCGTCGTCCTAAACTTCGTTCATTCCTCCTCCCACTTCCATTCCCATACCCTACCCTCCGTCGCCCTACTTCTCACTCCGTCCCAACTTAAACCTTTTCTGCTGGTAGTAGGCGGGTGCTCTGGTGTGGTTTGCTTTTTTTTTGCTATCAAACGTCTATTATTTTTATCTCCCCTCCTTCTTTTTGTGTTTGTTACTCTCTTGTAACACCTCTAATCTTCAGCACTTATATGACCTTATTGTGTTGCAAGTGCCGTAAAACACTTAACAAAAAAACACCTTTACTTATGGTCCCAAGTCTTCATTGTTCAGGGGTTTCTGATTTTTTTTTATCTTGTTTCTTTTTGTAGGTGTTTTAAGGAGGATGGGGGGGGGGGTGTCAATTACTTAAGAACAAAATCCTAAAATAGATGGATTACTCTATACTTTATATCTACTTTGCCCAATTCATAACTAAAAGCTTTGAAGATGCCCCTTGAACACACCTTAGTCGAAACGTTTGGACTTTCATACTGATTTAAACATTGCCACCCTCATCCTCCCTTTTACCCCCTATACCTCCATCTTGACAACAATAATTTATCGCAGTAGTGGCTGTCCGATTAAGTCGGTCCATCACTTCTGCCGTGACTTCACATCACACGGGGATCAACGTGTGCTCAGCTTTGGTGTCAGGAGTCTCCGTTACACTTTGTAATAAAGAATGGTGGGATTATTTATAGAGTAAATTGAAAGATCCGCCCGCATACAGAGCTTATACTTGTATGGGATAGAGGGCTATATAAATGTGGTCTGTTATTATCATTGTCATTATTATTATTATTATTATTATTATTATTATTATTATTATTATTATTATTATTATTATTATTATTATTATTATTATTAAATTATTATTATTATTATTGTGTAACGTTTCGCGTCCACGAATGTCTTTATTGCAAAGGGGGGGGGGTCTTTTTCTCGAACTATGTCTCGTATAATATTATATATATATATATATATTATAATATATTTTACTCACACATTTGTAGGCCTATACACGTACGTACGCACACACGCATGCGCACATGCACAATGCGAGCATCAGTATGCCCTCCAGAAAGCTTACGTTTTTGACATCTTATAGAACATGTTATTGCCGCAATGCCAGATTATTCTTGATAGGTAACGACACGATAAGGAACTTGCTAGACAAAGAAAAGGGTGGGTGAGAAACATTAGACACTATATGTAGATTGTTACCTTTTCAAAAAGAGTTTATCTTGTGGCGGTTTAATCAAGACTACCGAAAGTCTTAAGAGTGTCTTTTGTCTTATCCAATTATCCATTTTTGATATTGATGTCTTCCCATTTTTCTTTTCTCGGAGCGGGTGGTTGGAGGGCGCATCTCCTCTGTTTTTCTTCATTTTTCTCCTTGTGTTGGTTCTTTTTGCCTGTCTTGTTTTTCCCGCACCATATGGCCCTTATAGTGTCGATATGAATTTCCATTTTCAAAACCCAGAGCTCTCTTCTCAAAGTCCTTTCATTTTGGTTTACCTTTAGCTTAGACGTACGTGCAAAATTAATATTTAAGACTGATCAACCAAGTAGCGAACCATATAATATAAAAATAAAACAATAATGCTAATCAATATTTATTGTTCCTGATATCTAAAAGAATGAAGTTTGCGTGTGGGCTCTAGTGGTTTAGAGGTTATGATGTTCGCCTCTCATTCAGTAGGTCCCGGGTTCGAATCCTGACAGCAACGAAAAATGTTCTTCTCT